CCCCTAAATTCAGACGTTTCTTCTGAATCATTAAAAAATAGATTGTTAAGGATAATACGTATAATTGTACTAACTTCCCCTTGTATTGGTAGTATTTTATGATTTAAATATTGCTTTTATGTATATTTGCTTACTTGATTTTCAACAATTATTATAATTTAATAGTAATAATTAAGCTAGCATTATTATACACACTACAGTGTAAAATACTTTACACATATTATCTCAGATAATCCTTATGGTAACTTGATGCATCAGAAATTATTATGCTGTTTTAGCTGTAACAACAAATGCTTACAGAAATTCATATATTAATGAGATTGAAATTCAGGCACTGCGGTTCTAAACTCCAAGTTCCCTTCATAAAGATCCTAGTTGTGAGGTACTGCACAGGGGGTTCTGACTCATAGGGACCCCGTGTATAACAGAAGGAAGCCCTGCTGGTCCTGTGACATCGTCACAAGTATTCTTATGTTTGAGCCTATTGTTGCAGCCACTGGGTCAATCCATCTCATCAAGGTCTTCCTCCTTTTCACCCTCTGGCAAGTATGAGGTCCTTTGCCAGGGGCTGGTACCTCCCGAGAACATGCCAAAGTGTATGACATGGTGTCTCATCTTTCTCTCTCCCAAGTAGCATTCTGGCTGTACTTCCAACATACATTTGTTTATTCTTTGGGCAGTTCATGGTATATGTAATATTCATATGTAATATTCAGTGGTATAACTTAGAAGCATCAGCAGCTGCCATGTAATTATGTTTGGAAAATGACATATTTGGGAAATGATAGATGAGTACTTATCAAATGTTGATTTCTAGACCATGGAAGATAACAGATACTTACTGTATAAACATTATGCATGTTTTCACACTTGCCAGAAACTAACCAAGGTTTTCACTTAATTAATTCAGATGTACTGGAGGGTGCCAGGTCTGCCAGAATTTAATCAGGTAAGATTTGGATGAACACTGTTATTTAATTGTTATTTAAACCTAATTGACACAGTTTCTTCACATCTTCCCCAGAAATCTCATCCCTCATCCCTTCTTCCCTGCCCCCTACTTCAGGGCTGAACTGTTGTCTGGGGTGGGGTTGGGGGCGGCTGGGAGAGACTAGCAAATTCTAATCCCATGTAGTTTGTAAGGGTTTAGAAAGAAGCAAATGAAGCAAAGTGTTAATCCACAGTTTTATTAAAGCATAGGTAGGATCACTTCCAAAGAAATGAAGCAGTTCCTTCTCGGGAGGTGAAAAGGACTCTTTAATCATAGAAAATAAGCAATTTGATCGAGGAGAGATACCAGGATTGAGAACAGATGAGGTCAGGTCTAAGGGAAGACTTTTGAAGGGCGGAGGGCTGCAGCTTGGCAGATGGTCAAGTAACTTTCTAATTAGTTACATAGCTTGTCCTTGGGTCTATATAAGATAGGCAAGATAAACAATCCCAAGGTAAAAACAAAGGGGCCCATGGCTCTGGGGGAAAAGGGGAGAGGAGAAGTGGGGGAAAGGGAGTGGGGAGCCAACAAACCTAGGGACAAGGGAACAGAAAGAGATCCAAAATAGATGTTGAGGAGGGGATAGAATACCTGGTGGGGTTTGATCAAGGGAATTGTAGACTAGAGGCATTACTGAGAGCCAAATGAAGGTCAAACGTGATAGTGGGACAGGAGGTAAGTAAAAGGAAATAGAATAAAGAACTAGGAGGCTAAAGACATTTATAGAGGTATAATCATAGGCATGAACATATGTAAATATATTAATATATAATGATAGGGATATAGGCCTATGTACATATATTTATATTTAAGTATTAAGGAAGCAGACAGATATTGGACCTCTACTCAAGTACTCCCTCAATACTAGAACACTTTGTTTTAACAACCTGGCATTTTGTGATGCTCATCTTCCCGACATGATCTCTGAAGACAAAATGGGTACATAAGCAAATGCAGTGAAGAAAGATGATGGTGCCTAGCTTTTAAAAGATATAGTGTCTGGGGTCTGAAAGGCAGAGAAGCAATAAAATTGACATGGAAGAAGCACACCAGCCTGTGTGATCACAAGGTGTCGACAGGCTCAGGTATCAGGCATCAGAAGACCCAAAACAAACAGTAATATCAATGGGAATGAGGGGGGTTGGAATGGAGACCCAAAGCATATCTGTAGACAA